AGCCAATTTTGCCCTCAGAAATCATTATGTTGAGGAAAAAATAAAAATCTGAAACTTTCAGGAAATGTAGTCCCCACCTTCATCTTTTCAGTCCAGTTAGTCTTGTTTTGTTATTTTTATCCATGTAAAAGATATAATAATTTTTTTAATGCCAGTTAAGAAGCGATATTGTTAGTTTTATTTATAATCTAAAATTTAGATGGCTTTGACTTTGTCAATTCATGTTTGATGGAGAAATGTCAGAATGCGAAAAATATTTCATATATATTTATAAATATTATTTGTGCGTATTTCTTTGGTAAATTTTGTATATAACATAATATGTCATATTATGTTATATACAAAACTTTTTAAAGTTACCAAAGGAATACCACAAATAATAATTATCAAAGATCATCTTAAAATTTTTTCATTACAATAAAAAATCATGCAGCGCACTTTTAAATTGATTTTTGGTGTTTTCATTTGGATTGACTCATTTATGATAGTCTACCAAAAGTAACTGTCTCATTATTCATTATTTTGAAATTGAAGAATATTGTTAAATTCATAAATTTTATTAAACAATACATGCCTACCATCTGAAAGATTATGATTCGGTCAAAGTGTCGTTTATAAATTAATATTATAATACAAACCTTAGAAACAATACACAATAAAAACACACAAATACACAAAATCTTACAAAATGCGATAACTACGGATATAATTGAACGTCAAAAAGGTCAAAAACGTTAAAAAATTATAAAATCCGCGCCCTCTCTTGGCTTGGCTAAATATTATAATACTGCACTCTAAGAAAATATATTGTAATCCCTAACAATATAGATTTGTTATGCAAAATATGGTTTATTTAATTATAACTTATGGTTGTAATAACAATATACGAAAAATTAGTTTTGTTATATGTACTCTAATCATTTTGTTATAAAAATTTATCATCATGTACGGCTAAACTGTTAGTAGGTACTACACTAGATGGTTAAAATTATAAGATTATCTGGTTACAATAACAATATAATGTTGTCACACATTATTAACAATATGTCGTTGTAGTTTTTACTATACAGAAAGTTTATACATATCATACGTATAGTATATTTCACCATATAGAGGGTTATAAGGTATTTGCATATGATTATTATAACTAAATAAATTATTGTTTTGTGCAACAACAAAAATATAGTTAAAGTGACAATAAAACTGTTACAATATAAACATGGTTAACATAACAGTAAATATGGCTGTGCCTATACTAATCAGAATATTTAGTAAAAGTTACTATATATTCGATTAAGATAACCATTGTTTTTTCTCAGTGTGTCCCGACATCCGACATAAGATATTTATCGATTGGTTTGGTCTAGGATAATGACTAAGGTGACATTTAAGGTAGTTTTTTGTACTGAGGCTTATATTAATTTTACTTTTGAACTGGTTTTAATATGAAGTTTTTCTATTTCGACTTAGTAGTGTTATAATATGAAAATAAATATTTTTATCATTTTGTACAAAAATGGCGAATGCGCCGGGGTTAATTTAAAAAAGGATTAAAATAATAATAAATATGTTATGTACCTACCTAATAATATAATATTAATGTAAATGTACATTTATTGTTTAAAGTTTTAAAACACCTTTAACTGTAATTGAAAGCATCAAGATATTAGGTAGGTATGATTTTGTGTTTTTATACAGCACCCATTTCATTTCTTAGCTTTAACCGGTGGGCCCAATTTTAATTCGCCCACTGGCTGAAGTTAGCTTTAAGATAAAATTGAAAAAAATTGCTTGACAGCTCTTAGATGTCAGATAAAATATATAAAATTTAATTTCTTTGTGGTATTTAAATAAAATATTGTGTGCGGCTATTGGTTAAAAGAGGATATTCCACTCGCGGCAAACTCCACGATCCTTTTTCTCCCACTACTAGTATAAATTTGTACTTATAAAGGCAATTGCACCGGGGTAAATTAAAAAAGTAGTACCTACTTTTTTAAATTTACCGATTTATCAAATAACGTAAAAATGTTGCACTATAAAAACTAAAAAAATATGATATAAAAATAAAAAAGCTTGGCTTACTGAAATAAATTTGTTTTTAACAAATTGTAAACATATTTAACCTAATAATTTTATTACATTTTAAATGTAAATTGAACATGCAAAGGTTCATAACTTCACCTAGTTACTTAACTACCAATAAGTCGTTAAAATTATTTTGCATATTTATTGTGTCAAAGTCAAGAAAGTTTGCCAACTTTTCAAACATGAAAATTTAAAACTCAATTGTTTTACTGTAGAAACACGTGGGGCTAATGGTTATTTTAAGACTATTTGTAAGTATTTTATTAATTACCTGCCTTGATTATTATTAATAGAAATAAGAATTAATTAATATTTTATATGCGTGGCAGGTTATGATTTTGGCAAAGTTAAATAAAGTTATTTTAGTATGACTATTTTATTATAAATTAAAAATAAAGAAGATTGCCTTATTAATATAACAAGACCAAAATTGTAATTTATCACCTTAGAATCAACGCTCTCTTGTGTGGGGTTAACACTCAGAGCTGTGAATTTCTATGATACTAAATCTACTATAATAGACTAGGTGTAGAGTCGATCACACGAATAGACATAGGCGTATCTTGGATAAATAACATAAGCTGTAGGTACGTTTGAAATTTATTAAAATACCTTGCATTAAATGAATGAAAGCGTATAATTAAAAACAATTTTCGTTTAGTTTGTTTTGGTGTATTTTATTTGTAAATATTGGTTTAAATTAAAATAATATTTTTAAGAGATCAAGGTTAAATAATTTGGATTAGAATCAAGTCAAATAATCTTTAAATTTATTATATTAAAATATTCATTAGTCTTTTAAGAATATGCTGCATTTCTATTTAATATATTGTAATACCTATATATAAAAGAGAATATAAAATTATAGAGAAAGACACATGTTTATGGCTACTACCAAGATGGTTAATTTGTTTTATAATTTTTCTAAGAAAATTGATTTTTATTTTATTTATTTATTATTATTATTATTAATATTCTTGTGAGATTTCAAGGACGTATCACAATATATTTTCCAAATTAAAATTTGTATAAATTTATATCTTACCCATACCTTAGTAATAATGGAAACAGATTGGAGTCATCATTTTTAAAATAATTTTATACTTCTGCTTGTGCCATTTATTATTAAAAAATACCTTTTTAGTAAGTTACATATGTTATTAACACTAAATAAATGGGGTTGATCCAACAAATTATTCACTACGTTATTCTGAATGCCTTTATTTAATAGAATCGTAAAGTTTAGGGTAATTAAAATGTGTTTGTATGTGCAATTTATACTGTGTATGTTCAAGGCCGTATCTAGAAAAACGTTTCTGGGACTTCCATTTTGGTGCTGGCAGAGTATGGTTGCTCTATGAAAGAGTAGTGAAAAATAAGTGACTTCTAGACCTGGGAGGGCCAGAATGGAGGTCCCGGTATAGAAATATACTTGTATTTTTGGACAATATCGCAAGCTTTGACCTTTTAGCGAGGTATTTTGTGATTTGTTCAAGAGATTTAGTGGATGATTTAAGATTGAAAAATTTACATGTCTGTGGGTGGATGGCTTCAAAAAGCGCATGGACGTTAAAAATTGTATCTGGTCAGTAAGAGCTTAATTGGCTCTCTCGAAAGAGAGAATAAATTTGTAGATGAAGAAGAAAAACGTTTCTGGAGGGGATTGAATAATATAAAAAACAGGTGCAACACAATACAGATTAGGTTTCGTTAAAAACTTGTTCTTAAATTTAATTCTAAAATTTCGGTCGGGGATTAAACTCCCTCATTTCCCCATTGAATACGGCCTTGTGTATGTTTAATTTATTTTTTAATTTAATTATTTGCTGTATATATATATATGTCCCATTGATGAACACAGATTTTTACCTAATATTTTTGTTTATTTTTTCCTAGAAATTAAGTTATTATTCATAATATTTGACTTCTTGAAATAATGAAAAATGTTTTTAATATATTTTTCAAAATTAATTCATTTATATAATAATATTACAATTATATTATATAAACAAAAAGTTCCAAACAAAAATGCTACTTTTTAGCTTGTTGTTTTAGCGAGATCCCCAGGTTTATAATTTTGTGGATTGACTCCCTTGACTTTTACTAGAACGATATAGTAAAGGCATAAAAAAATATATTTAAAAAAAAATTACCACCTTATTAGTAAACATTTATTTTGTTTCTAAACCCTAAAATAATTTAATACGATTTGTTAATTCTATTTAATAAACGTTAACAATGTAAACAAAAAATACCGCACGTCTAGATTTTACTAGACACAGTCTAGTAACATGAAACAAAGCACTTATCAGGACACTTTAACTTTGTTTAGTGGCAATTTTGATAAATCGTCGAGGAACAATGCTGCCAAAACAACGAAAAGCGTACAAAATTATCCGACACCAAATTACAGGCGGTATTTGGCGGGTACCAGGCGCCGTACATGCAATTTAAACAACTTTCTGACAGCTAAACGTTTTGTTTTTTCTTTGTTGATTTAATGACAGGGGCGTAGGAAAAGTAATTGTTAAAATTAAGTGGAATTAAAATTTTATTTTTAATTAATATTTATTAATTATTTACACAATACATAATAAAAAATATTTATTTAACTGTAAAATAATTAGAAAAAACACCTCAATGAACATTTCAGTCAATAGCTTTATATTATGTATCAGATACGAAGCATTTTGTCAACCTTATTATCTTATTGTTAGTTGCCCTTGATCATAAATTTCAATTTCATAATACCATTGAACATAATAGTAAAATTATAAGTCGGTACATTTTTATATTTTATACATATAAGATATGTAAATACATATAATATATTTCTTAGATTAAGTAATTTAGATGATAAGAGCCCACCCTTTTAAATTTAACTACTAAATTTTTGATAACATATTTTTTAGACTGGGGTTCCACAAAAACCCCGTCCAATAACAAAAAGGGTTTCTGAGCTGCCTTCACTCCGATATGGACCAATAGGAGCAAAGACCACAGGCACTGGACCACTAAGAGTTACATCACACTATAATTCCGATACATTTCCTAAGAGGTCATCGAAAAACACAAATGGAAATGGATACAGCTCAGTGGATGATCTGGATTCCAAACCACGGATGGTGAGAACATAACATTGCTTTTGTGTTTAGTAATGACTCCCAAACTACTATGTTTAAACCTTAAAGTGGGAATTATTATTTAACATAAAAGCGCTTACTCCTAAAATAGCCAAGCTGGGGACAGCTTGATATTTAGTATAATAATAATACATTAAAAAAAAGTTTTCTCAATATTTATTAAAACAATGCGCGATTTGTGCTGTCCTAATAAAGAAAATAAAATATTACTAATATATTATTATATATGGTGTAATTTAAATCCTAATCATTTATATATAAATGAGATGAATTTATAAGATTTGTTAACAAACAAAATTCTGTTTGGAGTAAAGTAGACAATAATTTGGCCACGCTCAATTAGGGTGATTCATTTTATTTATCGAGATCAAAAAATCTCTAAAAGTTTCAGCCCTTAACCCTATTCCCAAGTACTTTTATTTTGATTGTAAAGTTTTTTTATTTAAATAACAAGAAAGTAAGGATTTTTTTTCAATTTCTTATTGCTGGGCGACATTTTACGCTAGCGTAGCGTAGCGTAGCTAGTACAATTTAAATAGGTGGCAATTGTAAGATGTTAAGAAGTTTCTTAAAAGTATTTGCAAAAACTTTACTACAATTCGACGTGTATACGTCACTAAAGTCAATTTATTATTTGTTCTACACATAAAAAAATCTAACATAGTACCAAGAACAGCGCTTTGATTGAGTTCATTAAAATTGAAGCAATCTAAATTGTTGTTTGCTCAATTAATTACTATTAAACCAAAATAGGGAAATATTTTGCCTACATGTCAAAGAATTTATTGCGTTAAATTTATACATAGCATACATAAAATAGTAACGTTATTAAATAAATCAAATTAGTATTTAATGCAATAACATTCTGACATTCTAACAAATAAATATTAATTTGAAAATCGATAGATTTAGGAGCGATAACTTTTGTTGTTAATTTAAAAACAGTAAACGATTATAAACCAAATGCTAACTACCTATTGGTATTATAGGAACTGATATTCAGGAATACACTCAGACAAATATCATGTCATGAAAAGCATATGAAATTATCTTAATTTAATTAATCGGGTAAATTTGATTCAAATAGAAAAAATTGTAGTTTTATATTCATTTACCAACAGCTTTACAATGTTTTTAAACACTTTTAAAGTGTACCCTCTTTAAAATATTTATACAAAAAGAAATCTTTTTATTTTATTGCCTTTCTCAACGTTGTTTCAAAAAGATATGTATTATACAATTGTTAGACACCTAATTATTTAATGGGACACACCAATGACGCCAAAACATATTTGAATCCCTTTGAATTATTATCGTTTTGAATGATTCTACAACATGTTTTCTCTCAGTGTACGGATTACAAGATCCCATTGGTTTAATGGCTCACCCATTCATGCTGTGCTAGTGTTTTTTCTGTGTATATCTTTTAAAACGCAATAAAATGCATAGTTAAAAAGAATGTAATAAATTGATGTATGGACTAAGGAAAGTAGCAAGTCTTTGACGTTAGAGATGACCATATTTTATCTTTTCTTGCTACTACTGCTACTTCACATTGCACACATTGGTACTTAAGATTCATTTATTAAGTCAAAATTTAGCCGTCAATGTAGCGTGTCTATTTTTATTCTTGATTTTGGCTATTGTGTTAGTTTTATGGATGTTTTTTTAACTATGAGGTTTTTGTCAAATCTAAATAGTAAAATACACTAAAATACGCATGCGCGGCCTACCGTTACTGCTACTCCTACTGTTTCTTTTACTTCCACTCCTACTGCTACTTTTTAAAACTATAAATCCAGCAAGACAGTTAACGGTATAATTTTTTTCTATATCGGGTTAATGAAATAAAATGCATGCTGGATTTTATTTTATTAATACGTGAACATTTTTTTATACGAAATTCAATTTTCTATAAAAATCTTTTTTACTTTTTACCTGAACATTAACCGTTTTGACGTTAAATGTAAAAAACAGTTTTTTAATAAAAATATGACTTCGGTGACACTGTACAATATACCAGGTATAGTATACCTACAGGTCAAAATATATGGATTGTATTAAAATTGTTGTGAGTAGTTTTAAAGAGCATCTATGTGATAATGTACAAATCGCACCTATGTATATTGTACGGTGCTTTTAAGAACCAAAAACCAACAACACGGAGCATATTTCGGAAAACCATCAATACATATACATACATATATAATATATGTATATATATATACATATGTATTACATATGTATTACATATGTATATGTTCTGCTTTAGGTTTCCACCGGCGTTATATGTATTGATGGTTTTTCGGGATCTGCTCCGTGTTGTCGGTTTTTGGTTCTTAAGAGAACCGTATATCTGAGGACGTTTCAGTACAATATCATGTACCATCTTCAGGTCATCCAGGAATACACCTACTTTAGACTTTAGATATACCCAGTGGCGAATTTAAGGAAAATGGCCCAGGCGAAAATGCTTCAAGGGACGCAATCTGGTATAAATTGCAGAAATATTAATTTATATTATATTACTTTGAATTTTCGTCTTGTTTAGCAATACCTTCTTTAATATAAACTAAATTAAGTGAGTTAACTGCTAATCTCAATGTAAAGAATAAAATAATCGCTAAGTGTTTCTTCAGCTAAAAAAGCTCAACGATACTGTTTCACGATTTTCAAAGAACTTATGACTCGTTCAGCACCAGGTGAACTTACAGGCAACGCGTTGCAACGTCAGAAACAATCTAAAAAGACTGCAGCACTCCGGAAAACTGCCCATTAAATTGCTTTCAATTGTGTACTCCAAATATTGTAACCGACTGTCGTTTGAAAAATAAAGACTTTCTGTAAAATACATTTCAGCAGTATTTTTCCATTAAAGTTACAACGCTGGATCGCAAATTACTTTCCTCTGCTCTTTTCTGATTTTTGGAAATTAAAAAAACGATCGAATCCTCATGCACGTTCTTGCAAATTTATTGCACATTCTATCCAAAACTTTGCAAAAACTAATGCGATATTTTGTATACGTTTCGGACCGCGAATTTTGAGTTCTGACCTTGAGAAAATCAGCATTTTTCCAGTCCATTTCTTCCAATTTATTTTTCCCTTTCAGATGCCGTAAGAATGCATTTTTAAGCTTTGATCAAATCAAGTTGTTTGTTTGCAATTGATAGTATTTATCACCCTGATTACTTTAAGAAGCTGAATGCCAAAACCGCTTGGGTTTCATGATGGACTATGACTTTCCTCCGGTATTGCTTCCCACCGTCGCGTCTCCACGTCTAACTCGCAGCAGAGCAGCAACAGCAGCCCAGCAGATAATACAAGTATTACTACAAAATAAAAAATTACTACCCACATAGCAAAGTATAGTAAAACGTTTTTGGTTTTTTTTTCAAAATTTTGAAACTTTTCTTTGCAAGCACTCAAAGTATTTTCAAATATTTTTCGCAATCTCATCAATGCGTCGCGACGGTGGGAAGCAATTCAGGAGGAAAGTTAAAGTCCATCATAAAACCCAAGCAGTTTGGCATTTAGCTTTAGGAAATACATTTTTGAAGCAGGAGGTCAAACTGGAAATGACTATCTTAATGATCAGGTCGACGAGGAGACTACATAAAGTGAAAGAGTTCTTCACAACAAACATCTAAAACGTTGGGATAAACGATTGAAAGCAGTGGAAGCGACAATTTAGAATTTTGATTGTATCTTAAATTGCATAGAAAATAAAATGTTTAGAATTGAAGGTTCTGGGGAAGAAATAATGACTAGTCGATCATTAATTTTCTCGTTGAATTGCCTATTTTTTATCAACTTGCTATGGTGGTGTTCAGTAATCAGGGTGATAAATACTATTAATTGCAAACAAACAATTTGATTTGATCAAAGCTTAAAAATGCATTCTCACGGCATATGAAAGGGAAAAAGAAATTGGAAGATATGGACTGGAAAAATGCTGATTTTCTCAAGGTAAGAACTCAAAGTTCGCGTTCCGAAACGTAAACAAAATTTCGCATTACTTTGTACAAAGTTTTGGAAGAACGTGCAGGAGGATTTGATCGTTTTTTTAATTTACAAAAATCTGAAAAAAGCAGAGGAAAGTAATTTGCGATCCAGCATTAATGGAAAAATACTACTGAAATGTATTTTTTAAACGACAGATACAATATTTGGAGTACACAATTGAAAGCAATTTAATGGACAGTTTTCCGGTGTGCTGCAGTCTTTTTAGATTGTTTCTGACATTGCAACGCGTTGCCTGTAAGTTCGCCTGATGCTGAACGAGTCATAAGTTCTTTGAAAATCGTAAAACAATATCGTTGAGCTTTTTTAGCTGAAGAAACAATTAGCGATTATTTTATTCTTTACATTGAGATTAGCAGTTAACTCACTTAATTTAGATTATATTTAAGAAGGTATTGCTAAACAAGACGAAAATTCAAAGTAATATAATATAAATTAATATTTCTGCAATTTATACCAGATTGCGTTCCTTGAAGCATTTTCGCCTGGGCCATTTTCCTTAAATTCGCCACTGGGTATATCTAAAGTCTGCAGTAGGCGTATTCCTGGAGTTCCAAATCATAGAAAGTACTATACTGATATCGAAATTATCTGAAAGGCAGAATTATTTTAATAATATAATAATTATATTAACTACATTGCGCGTCAAAATTAACGCATAACAAGTAAAAAAAATCCAACTCTAAAACGCCTTTACCAATCTTTATAAAATTTTGGATAAAAATACTTTAACTTATATCTCAGTTAACGTGTTCAAGGGTTTTTGGAGAAAATATCCTTGAAGCCCTTTTATTTAATAATAAAAATGCTCGAAAAGAAAACTTTTATAGGGAAAGTAAATAAAAAATATGCTGTAAAAGTCCGTATTTAAATAACAACACGTTAGTGTGCCTTGAAAATGTTGTACAAATCAAACAAACAGTAACAAAAATACATCGCTTCAAATTCGTCAAAAATGA